TCATAAGCTATATTGATCTTTGCATTGACTCAGTCATCCATGTTAACCTAATTCGAATAAAATAATTCAGTGGATTAATCAGTTAAAACAATAAGACGTTAGCCTGGAATACAATTTGCTAATATAAATGCTTGCAAAGTAAATTAAATCTAGCCAATGTCTAATGTAACAAAACTGTATCACATCATTTAGGAAACAGTCTCAGAAAACTTTCACTTAAAGAAGTAGCTGTAACTGTTCTACTAAGATGTAGCTTTAATTTTGACCAGATATTGCGTCGGTGGCATAGCGGTTAGCATGCTCGCTGACCATGCACATGGTCCGGGGTTCGACCCCGGCCGACGCACTCCTTTACCTTGCTAGGCCAGTAATAAAGCTGGCAAAGCGAGAAGGTTAGGCATTAGGCTAGCAACCCCGTCCTGTAAAAATAAACACTGCTACAGAAACTTCAAGCCTTCTAGCTTGAAGCCCTATGTTCTACTTGGAACGTGAAGGAAAAAAAAGATATTGCATGAAGCAAAATCAAAAAAGTCTTTTGATTGGTAAACAGATTTGGATTGTGGGTTAGATCACTAACATTCTGATGTGTTGGACATTTCAAGCCGTAGGAATTGCAATCCATCAGTTTAGTGTTAGAGGCTATACAGTTCACCTATTGTTAGTTTATTGGCGTAATATTAGACCCTTGTGTTTTTATTCTTTAATTTTAGGCTACAGTGCAGTTTATTTAATGTACTTGTTGACCTTTGGGTGTAATTTTAAACAGAAAACTCGGTTATTCCAATTTAAACCATAAATGTTTAGTACCAACTGAAGACTCAGTCAGGAACTTTTCTCACTGAAAGGCGATCTATATATATATATATATATAGCTTCGTAACTAAAGATGAATCGATAGCATATCTGTCACAGGATTAATGAAGAGTTAAACATTCCGACTAAATGTCCAATTTTATTGTGGTTGATGGCGACTAACACTGGAATCCACGATGCGCATATCATTCTCTACTCGTTAGCTAGATGTACTTGTATCCTCAGCGAGTGCTGCTATTATTGCTGAGACCTGAAGCCACAACTTACATCTGCAAATATCACGATGTTATCCACTAGGCCGCTGGGTCAGGAGAGCTACACCATGTGCAGTGGATACTATTTATTGTTGTTTGAGTTCATTTGAGTTACCTATTAATCGATTATTTTGGACCGAAATGCACAGTCTATGTTGATATGTATTCTCCACGGATTAAACCTGCATGTTGTATTCCACTACAAGTCAGCATCAAGCAGAACAAAATCATTTTCAGCTTCAGAGATCGTCAATTTATCCGTATCAGGAGCTTATATGTCATCAGAGACCTAGGGTTTCTCTCCAACATAATCAGTCAACAAGAAAAACAATTTAACTTAGACAAAAATATTTAATTTCTAAACTAATATATATATATTTTTCCTTTCCGAAATGCAAATATGTATTACATAACTTCTTTTCATTCAAGGTCTTCAATCCTACCTAGCAGATCTTTACAAGTGTAAATATTCGAAGTCGATTTCATGAAATTATTCTCTGATGTTTCTGGAACAATTGTTATACACGCGACAGTCTTACCAACAAGGCCTATGGAGATGGTTTGAACTAATTCTGGTAAAACTCACACTTCATTTATTCGATGTTCTACACCATCTATGTCACAGTACGATATAGACTCAATATTTACCTGTCAATCAATATCTAACGAATCTTGTTTTTTAGTGAATTTGAAAAATGCAGGTATTTATGATTTTTATTTCTATTTTTCGTACCATATATTCATATAATGAAGCACGTTACCGGCCTAACACTGATTGTCAAAAATAGTACACTTCCGTTTTGTCATAAGGCACCTGTGGAACTGCAGGCTTGAAGCTAATTTATCATGGCACTTCAATACTGTTCTCCTGTGATGTTTCACCAAATTAGTGTCAACTAGAGTGTGTAATTCTATTATTTTCACGGTAAATTTAAATTTATTATCATCATCCATTCCTACATAATTTCAAATTTTTCGTATCAAACCTACGGTTAATTCAGATTCATGACTTAAGTAATTTTAGCTATTTCGTGCCAACATTCCAACATTTTTATGTGTCTGTCACTTTCGTTCGAAATTATTTTCTTGTTAATTTACATTTTTTTAACTATTTTCTTTTATATATTTGCATATTTAGTTAAGTTGTAAAATGTGACTATAATGTCACTGTATATATTGCTTGTTGCCTGCAGGATTAAAACTTCGAGATTAATATCTTTATTACTGAAACGATTTCTAGTCATTTTTGAATGAAAACAAACTATCAGAAATCTACTGAATTAATTTTATTGTTGTTTTCACCCATAAATATTTAATTTCTTCTTTTTAGGGGAATATTGTTTCCTGAACAGAGAAAAATCAAGGAAGGATGATACACACCAGGTCAAGTTTCTTTATTTCTGAAACTTGATGGTCTTAACAGTTTACAAGTACAGAATAGTAAAATTAGGAATATTGTAAATAAATGGTAAATTTGAAAAGAGAACTAGGCACCAAACAATGTGTGTTTCGTTTTGATTGTTTCAAACAGAGTTGTTTAAATTATGTATTTTACATGATTGTTAATCGTGATTAAGAAGAAAATGTTTTTAAGCAATCTAGTTAGTGTAGTTTATAAATGAATAAGTAACGTTGATACGCGTATTAATGGTACGTTCAAAATTTCAGTGAGCATGGGAAATGCTTGGTGTTTTCTGAGCTTTGATATTTAATTGAAGATTAGAGGATTTTCATCATGAGTTGACATTAGTTAGAGAACCACTGGAAAACCTGGGAGTACTGGACAGCTGTTTCGTCAGCCTAGTTTGGGACTCTTCAGCAGTACGCATCCACCGGGATTCGAACTCATGACATTCTGGTTACAAGGCCAGCGAGCTCGTAGACCATTAAGCCACTGGGACGTGATTCAATGGCCCACGAATTCTAACTTCTGCCAATTCACGTAGATTCTCTATTACTGCACTTCGTGATACCTTCAGCAGTAACTTGAGGATTAAATGACAAACGAAGGCTACGTCTTTCTCGTTATGGTCGTTTGTGCGGAACAGTATTAGTACCTGAGGAAAATAACTTTCAAATCGTTTGGATAATATTACTAATTTCAAATTCTTGGGGTTTTTACTACTATTATAATTGAATAGACCAGCACTGATCGCTTCTTGTCCTACTGAAAACACGATACTGTAATAAACACAGGCCTAATTTATTTTCTATAAACCTTTGAACTTCTCCACTCATAAACTTATGACTTAAGGATTCACTGTCAACAGGTGTTTTTTAATCTAAAAGTGACGTTTTCATATGTGTCAAAGATACATGGATGATACCTTTATCACATCTGACGAGAATGCTAACATCGAAATGATGACTACGAAGTTGAACAACAGCCATCATTCTATCCGGTTCATGTCGGAATCAGAGATGAACTCGGAATTCTATTTTTTTGGATATCTTGCTAAAAAAAGATCTGACGGTTCTCTTCAAAGATCAGTTTACAGGAAATGAATATGGAATGGTCAGCACACGTTTCTTCATAGTTGGACCCTTTAGAGAATAAAGAGAAATCTGATCCACTCCTCATCCTCAAGAATCAGAAGGACATGTACCAGTGATATAATGGACGGTAAACTGGAGAGACTCAGACGAGTTCACATGGAAAATAAATAAACTTCATCGACAAAAACACGAAATTAAAGCGAAAACCCAAAATAAACCAGACGTTGCCGAAGAAACTGCCACTCATGAATTGAATCGCATTTAAAGGTGATACCGCAGCTTAGATTTTGGAGGACCGCCTATACACATCACTAAGAAAAGCCTGCTTCTCGGATGAACTACGGGTCAATTTCCGCAGCCGACAAATGATCAGTGGATATGTGAATGATAAACCTCTACAAATCGGAGGCACTTCAGTGTGTGTTTATAAATTCACATGCTCCTTTGGTGTTAATTATACTGGCCACAAAAAGCTCACACTTCCCGAACGAATCTCTGAACATTGTCCGAGGTGATTGGTAAAAGGACAGCGCAAGATGGTTAGTAGCTTAATTGTCAGGCCACGCAGCTCCACCAGAGTCGTCTTTCAAGATTATCTACAAGGTTAGGTCAAATGGTACAAAGGACCTCAGGTTTCAGCATTTGTGTATGGTGGAGGCATTGGCAAATCGTCAATACAATCCCAAAATCTGTATACAGAAGAAGTTTGACTAGTCTCTTATTCTACCTTGGTCTTAACCTCTTCACTAGTCGTTCCCTGTAAATTTTTATTCTGAGTGATTACTTTGCTTTTACTTTAATAATCAGTTCACTGTTATCGCTCTCACATGTTACCTTTATACATTTTTCCACCCTCTTCACATTTGTTAAATGGGCACCCAGCTACCTTCCTTCTCACTCAGTAACAGTTTTAACCTGATCAAATTTCTAACGCTTTTTTCCTTTGTGCCTTTGAGTATTACGTAATTTGTAACTTTTATTTTTACTTCTGATGCCACTTCTGAGTAATTATATCAATTAGGTCACCCCCTATTACGCAGTAATGGACTACAGTACATTTGTGGTAAATATAATTACTGCTGCACATCGTATGAAGATGATTACGTAGATAAAGAAAAATTTCTTCGCTGAATTGTCATTTATTAGAGTGAAGTATTTATGCGTTTGGCGGAGGCTTTAGACAGCCATCTGAATAAAGCAAAGTCCACTACTAACAATTTTATACTACCTGTTAGTATATTGCTATTAACTGCTCTTTTCACTAATGAATAATCTACACATTCATTTAATTTATTTAAATATCTGGTTCTACCAATTGCATCAGTTCATTTCAATTTTGTTTTATCATTCTGACTTGACCTATCATAAGCAAATTAGCTGTGAAAACAATGATTGGCTTATATTTCATGTTAATAAATAAAACCTATGCATAATATTGCTTTAAATAATACAACAAAAGTGTAGATAACTTTTTCCTAAACATTTACTGACATTTTATTTGTGTGAAATAGAGACCACGAGAGAAATCCGTCTAAATAATGTTGAACATCTGCTTCTGTCTGAAATACACATGTCGTCACCTTCCAGAATATGTAAAAGATAATTTCATGAAATGCAAACTGATTGCCTATGACTAGGTTAGAATACTTCATGAAAATGAATCTATTCATTTGTATACTTTGTTATCCCATTTTCCACTGAAACAATTCATATGTACATTCTGAAAATTGTGGAAATGCATACAAATGTAATACCATACATAAGGATCATTCGTATCTACTTATAATGTTTCTATAAAATGGAATATACATGTACAAATGTTCAAATTAGAAATTGTTTTCACCTCATTTCTACAATTAGATAATCAAACTGAAAAAGGCTATCTGCTTACATGTGCATCAATATTCCCAAACAAAACATCCATAAAATCACGTTCTTTGGATTATATTTTCATATTGATTTTCATTGTAATGTGTGATATATTCTTGACCACTTCTATTGTAGTACCATTCAATACTGCTGTAAAAACTGCTTACAATAATGAAACAGATAGTAGTCTAAACAGTAAAAATTTATCCAGGCGATTGTTTACCAGATCTTCTTCTTTCATGTATGGCAGTTCACAGCTACTACCCTATCTGACTCCAATCACATTTAGTGTAAATGAGAATACACCTATTTCAACAATTATAGGTTACATACCAGAATACATTTATCCTTCACCGACAGCAGATAACAAATTTACTCTTCCGAATAATTCATTTTTTGAAATTAATGTAAAAGGTGCCCTAACTGTCATAGGTGAATTGGATAGGGATGATAATCCACATTTATGCATTGAACCTGGTTATCCACGTGAATGTATATGGAGTAGTTTTGCTATTACAACGATGGGGCAATATATTGGATTGCGTATTACAATAAATGACTTGAATGATAACATTCCTAAATGGCCTCAGTCTTTTATCGTGATTAATGTACAGGAAGAAGTTAAAACTAAACAAGATTTTGAACTCCCACTGGCTAATGATCCAGACTATGGAATAAATTCAGTACAAGAATATCATCTAAAGACAGATATCACAGAGTCTAAATATTTCAGGTTGATTATAGAGAAAAATAACCTGAAAAATCTAAGTTCATTCAGTTTTCACTTGATATTAAGCGTTGTCGAGACATTGGATCGTGAACGTCAGGCATGGTATAATTTGAGTCTTTTAGCTGTAGACGGTAGTAAACCGTATAATACGGGTACTTTGGTAATAACCATACACATAACTGATGAAAACGATCATACACCAGTATTCTCAAGTCCTCTATATCAGGCTGTGATATCTGAAGATTCCAAAGTAGGCGATATTATCTACTTATCAGAAAATAATCAAAACTTTGAAACACTTGATCCACTAGGTACGCTTAGTGATGATTCCTCTACCAAAAATCTTATCAAACATCAAATACACGCCACTGATCCTGATGAAGGCTTAAATGGTGAAATTGAATACACTTATGCCGCTTCAACACCTAAGTCTGTACTTGAAAACTTTGAACTGGATAAACATACAGGATTATTATATATAGTTAATACCTTGGATTATGATGTTGGACCAAATGAATGGAAATTTCAAGTAATCGCTAAGGATAAAGGACGTCCGGCTAGATCAAGCACTACTAGCGTGACAATAATCTTAAGTGATGCTAATACACATGCACCTACAATCAAGCCACGTATACAGTTATCCGAGAATTATAAGAGACGTTTAAAAAAATTAAATGTAAATTATGCACCAAAAAATGAGAATATACTACACATTCCAGAGAATGTTCCACATACAAACGAACCATTGGTATTTTTAACTGTAAGCGACCAAGATACAGGATCAGGTGGATCGTTTGAATGTGAATTGAGCACGAGTGAGAATACTGTTTTTAATAGAAGCAGTGCAAAACCAATAACTAGTTATCTTGACAATACAATCAATCAACCAATCCAAGAACAGTTTCGCCTGGATTTTACTGCGAAATTACCAAAGTGGAAAGTTTATAGTCTATATGCTATCACCACTTTTGATCGTGAACAGGGACAAATGCGTCTATTGCACATAACATGCAAAGATGAAGGTACACCGAAAATGACTTCCACTTACACACTCACAGTATACATTGCAGATGAAAATGATAACGCACCGGAATTTGCTGAAGATCACTACAAAATTCATGTAAGTTATCCTAACATTTAACCTGTAGTTTTATCACTTTGATTTAGTAGTGTGCATAATTATAAAAAGCAATCTAAAAGGTTTTAGCAGATTCACGCATGTAGCTATTATGTTTATTTGACTTGATAGTTGTTAGCACAAGTTCTCCTGGGGAAGACATACTAAGATATGATACTCAGTAACTTTCCAGAAACTTCATTCCTTTGAAAATCGTAGACGGAAATGATATTGGAGAGCTTTATTCACTTAGGATCCAGTAGTAGTTATAAGTGTGACACATGGTAACAAAGTACAGGCTAGTATCTTCTGCCTATGAATATAACCTATCGATTTTTGACGCCTTGGTGTCCAACCTCATTTCGAGGGGAATTTTCATTCAAATTAGTTTGTGCAACCGATTTGTGAAAACACTTCCAACAAAAGGATTTTATACCGTTTTCATACTAGTAGTCCTAAAATGCGTTGAGATATGTGACCGCTAGGCTCTGTATGTTAACTGGGAGGCGGGGGCTATCTGCTCGACCGAATATGATGTGTTAGTCCTTTTCAATATTCTCTAGTCTATAATGGGGTTTTTAGCTACCACTAAGTGTTAATAGCAGGAACTGAAATTGTAACATGCGTAGTTTCGACTTGATATTTACTTTGCGCTTGACAGTATACTACCCGAACTTTTTTATAATGAAATCCATGAGATATAGCCGCTACGAAAATTCACACTTTCACGCGTTTTTATTTACTATGTGAAATAACACAGTATTTTGGCATTTCCACATTGAGTTACTGTTGGCATACACTTTATTTATATCTGTTGTGCGTTTGCTAAAAGACAGCTAGTGGTATAAAGGCAACTTGAAAACTAATGCCTAAGTATTTAACACAGGGTAATACAAGATGATTCGTCTAGATAAAAGGAGGCAATTAGTTATTGTTTTATGTTATCTGCGGATAGTTTTTGTTTATCATTTGGTTTACGGACCTATTCAATGGGCTAATTATCATATGAATATATATATATGTTTAGACGTAACGTACAAATATTCCAAAGTTCAGTTAATAAGATGACGGATAAAAAATGGTGAACACCACATGTAATAGCATCATAACAGCAATAGAAATAGAAGTAAAGCATAACAAAAGCAAAAAATTAGCTGTGATGAATCTCAAAAATAATAAAACAATCACTGCCAAGACTTTCTAAGACAACTTAGCTTTAGTTATGATCAAATTAGAATACTTCCCAAAAGTTAGGAAATGGCCCCCATTTCATCATACTGTATCTAAAAATAAACTCTAATTCAATTATTAGCTATCTCGTTATCTCTTGTCCAATCACCAAGCTAAGAAATATTAAAGAAACTGAGTTGAAATAATTTCGAAGAAAAGCCATGAAATCAAATAACTTGTATTTATCCTGCAAATATATTCGTTTCTGCTTTGTTTAAACTAGTCAAGGAGACCGAATATACAAAACAGAGAAGAAACGTTGCCACCGTATAATTATCTTATAGATTTCACTTAGAAATTCAAAAATCTCATGAAGAAGTATTAGTGAAACGGTCTGTTATAAAATAGAAAAGCAAGATTTTGAGCCATCCACAGAGTTGTTATTCATGGAAGGAACACCCTAGTCAATGTTAAGGTTTCTTAGTAGAACGTAAATTACAGTGATATTCTATCTGATAAATACACTCTTGGACAAGTAGTGCGGGCTAAATGTTTCTAATGATCTCATTAGACAAAATACCTTTTTCTAAAGAACACCATACAGCGACTGTGGGGTCATTTCCGTCCAACTCACCCTCAGTGTTATGTCCCAGTGGTCAGAAAACAAAACCTTTTCCTTTCGGATATATTTTAGAAAGACGAAGGGGAGAATGAATTGAAATCTGTGCATTACTCTTTAATGCAAAATGAAAACCCACTTAGATTTATTGACCTCAAGATGACGGACAATAGCCATCAGTGGAGGTCGAAGGTGTCTTCAGAAAGACTCTCATTATGAGACAGTGGTCTTATAAAACCTATTCAAATGTTTAGAAATAACATTCCGCCCAGCTACTTTCAGAATCATACCAAGCAGTAGGTAGTCATGCATTCAGGACAGAATAAAGCTTCTGGCCACTTCACTGTGTGTCTATCAGTTTACTTGTGCGTATGCCACCAAGGAAATGAACCGTACATAGTATCAGCTCCTAATTGTATTTCGGAACACAGTCAAAAAGAGAAAAAAAACTACCAATGGTTCTGTTCTTATGCACTCTGTCATCCCTAAACATTGGGCTCAAATATATAATTGCCACATAGTGATCCACAGAGTCCCTCAAAATCGCACTAGAGTACTTCGAATACGCCACTTATACATAGCTGAAACATTGGTATTTCAGAAAGACAAACCTGATCTCTGTATCCATTGGCTGTAGATACACTAACTCCTCTTACCGTAGTCAGGATAATATTCTTGCTATGGTCTTGTCTGACGTCTGTTGTTTGACGTTTATCTTTATTTTTATTGTTTCGGTAATAATTTGTATTTTTCACACATATTTCGTTTAAAAACTACATATTTTTCACAATTTTATTCATTTTTTATGTTCAGGTTGATTAGGTTATTTTCACAACAATTAATAACATGAATGACGTTTCGAGCACAATTTATTGCTCATAATTATATCAAGGTAATCACACAACTTCCTAAATTCATTTATATAGTTCCATTGTTTTTCTCTTGATTTTCACTTGATTTGATTGGTAATAGTATTTTCCATATTTCAGGTATGAGTGATGAGTCATTTCTATTGCATGTGTTGGGTGTAGACTCGATGAACAAGGATTCAGTAATCAACCTCTCTCTCCACCTACCTAGAGGGTTAAAATTCTAAAAAGTAATCTAGGTAGGTGGAGAGAGAGGTTGATTACTGAATCCTTGTTCATCGAGTCTACACCCAACACATGCAATAGAAATGACTCATCACTCATACCTGAAATATGGAAAATACTATTACCAATCAAATCAAGTGAAAATCAAGAGAAAAACAATGGAACTATATAAATGAATTTAGGAAGTTGTGTGATTACCTTGATATGATTATGAGCAATAAATTGTGCTCGAAACGTCATCAGTAAACATTACTGTATAACACTGTGAGACTTTATCAAAACAAAATTTACCCATAATGGAATTACACCCTACCACAGTGCACAAGTTTTATTCTTATATCTAAGTAGCATGAACTTCGTTTTCTTAACTTATATCTATTACCCTCAAGATTATTCCTCACATAATGTAAAACATTTTCTAAAGGATAATTACTAGTTCTGAAGTACTGAATCCTGTGCTGAATATGGCTTATGAAGATGATTGGCTGAAATGCGAACTTCCTCACTTTTACGTTTTTTTGTACGTCTCACTTGTATGGGTAATTGTACTATACTGAGGTTGCTCAGGCTACCGGAACACACCAAGTTATCTAAGCGTGGGATAAATGACTTAAAAGATGACTAGTGCAGAAAAAAACCAGCCATCGCAATGCATAAAACAACAAATAATCACACAGTAAGATATTAAGACAGAGCTATAGTTTTGAAAGATAATGCAGTTCAATGGAAGGAGAGGTTTTCTCCTCATCTCTAATCCCTGAATGCACACTAAATATGTGAAATAAGAATAATTCATCATCAATCCCAAAGTTGTTTAATATATTATAACGATAAAGTAAGAATATTCAAAATAGTAGAACTATATAAACAAAATTTAAAAGTGACGTGAGTTCCCTGATATGAGCGACAAATTGTACTCAAGGCGTCATCCAGTTATTAATACTGTATGATTGTGGGTTATTTCAAATAAAATTCTTCTATTATGGAATCATACTCTATCACTGTGCCCAAATTTTATTCATGTATCATTCAATTATTCAAAGGGTTCCAAGAAACTAGTGAGAAATTCGTTATGGATGGAGGCTTATTACTTTAAAAATCAGAGATTGTGTGTAAAACAGATAGTACACTTTCAAGACATCAGGAAAAATAAAAATTATTCAAAATAAAACTATGCATCATTGGAATCTGCCATTCTTGTCATCTGAAGTATTATGGTAATTAAATCCATCTTTTTATTCAAAGCCCCCTAGAGACAATTGCGGCAGATTTTGCTATGGTAACTTGCATAAAAAGACATTTGGTACTTTTTGTGATAGGATATGTTTTAGAAACTGAAAAGCCTGGAGAATCTTCTATGGAAAATCGGAAAAATTATTTTAGCATTTTATTTTATTGGTAAAATGAAAAATTTTGTAGTGCACTTGGCACACAGTGAAATTGGCTATTATATATTAGCTAGATTTGCATTCATTCAGGTCTTGAGGTTCTTTTATAACAGTTTTAGACTTTGTTACTGAAAGCGAAATAAGGATAGGAGATTCATCAAAGTAAAAATCTAATATTGTTTGCTTTAAACTAAAAATACTGAATGTCTGACACTGTACCCCGCAACTTCAGAGCAGTAAAACCTACTAACTTTGATGGGATTTGTAAACACACAGTAGGCTTGCTTTATTACCAAACAACATTATATGAATATATCACATCATTGACTGAGATATAATTTAAAAGTCCTTGTGACGACACTTGCATAAACCAAATCACTAGTGACTTGTGAATTCTAGCCTTCCGTATGTATTTGCAAATAATGAAGTGAGTGCAGTCTCCCGTTATATAATCTTTTTACCTTATACCACGTTTGTTTCTCCACGCCATATTTAATTTATAATAAAATGTGTTTCATACTTCATGTAATCATCACTGAGTAGCAAATAAAACTGATTTACGAGTATGATATGTTGTATGACCAGACAACAACAATTTAGATTCGTTATTGTATTTTATCTAAGCGTTGCTAAATGCTTTCGAGTGAAACATTACGTTTGTAAGTAGCGTTAATGACATACTCTCCTAATTATTCGATTATGACTGATGAATGAGTGATTGGACAGTAGAGC